ACCCAGGCTGGAGTGCAGTGGCCTGAACTCAGCTCACTGTAACATCTGCCTCCCAGATTCAAGTGATTCTCCTACCTCAGCCTCCCAAGTAGCTGGGATTACAGGTGCACACCACAATGCCAGGCTAAGTTTTTTATTTGTAAAGATGGCATTTCGCCAAGTTGGTCAGGCTGATCTTGAACTCCTGACCTCAAGTGATCTACCCACCCCGGCCTCCCAAAGTGCTGGGATTACAGGCATGAGCCCGTAATTAGCCCATGACTGGCCTGATTTTTATTTTAAAATATCATATTAAAATATTATTTACCTTGATTCCTGAGATTCCTGGCCCCTCTTAAATTTTGCACCAAGGCCAGCATCTCACTGGCCTCCCCCCAGTCCTCTGGGTAGGGCAGGAATAGAGGCAGGGACAGGATGTCCACAGAGGATGGTGGCTGCTGCCTCACAGGGCACCCAGGCTCCTCCTTTCTCCCCTCCTCCTCCCACTGCATATGTGCCACCTCTACGCCCTTTTCCCCACTGGGCAGGGGCCACCTCCCTGAGTACCAGGTGGTGGCCTCCAGATGATGCTGTGGGGGCCTTCCCTGGGGTCCCTGGGTCACTAGACCTCAGCTAAAGTCACCTCCTATTACTGACCCCTAGGAAACCCACGCCCACACAGGGTGCAGATGCCTTTGAGGGAAAGGCCCTGGGGAGGGCCTGTGGGGGGACACAGTGCAGCCCTTCTCCCTGTGTAACCCCAGTCCTTGCCCTCTGTGTGTGGTGGGAGGTCCCCAGACAAAGCACTGAGGATCTGAGTTCATTTACAGCCTTCTGGATGACAATGGCCTGTTCATCACCGGTGAACTTTATACCCCACATGATAATCATTTCAGGGACAGCACCTCCATCTCAGTGGTCTCATAGGCAGGTCCTGCTGTGATCCCCTTTATACAAATGGGGATAGAGGCCAGAGAGGTGAGGCCACCTGCCCAAGTCACTCAGCTCATATCGCAGAGCTGGCAGAGTTGATGAGTACCTTGGACAGTTGCACCAAATGCCATGGATTGGGACGACTAGATCAAGATGTAATTTCACAGAAATAAAGGAAGGCCTTGTATTTTATTCCAAATATCAACTCTGAAAGGAACCGGATAATAAATATAGTGTCAGCTCAGCAGCACTAGTGATTGAGAAGGTCACAGGGCTTTAGTTAGTCCAACTCCAGCTCTTCCCTGTCCCTGTCCCCTGAGCTGATGGAGCTGGCGTGTGCACCTCTGTGGCCTCAGTTTCCCCTTCTGCAAAGTGAGGCTTCCTGATTGGTGAGGGCCTTGCATCCTGATGCCCACCCCTGCAGTGGCCGTGGTGAGGGCTTCCATGAGGAAAGCTAACCCTGTGCAACTCCAGCAGTGCCCCCATCGGGGGAGGGTTAAGACCGGTGGGTGCCAGGCTGGGACCGGGGTCTCAGTGTCCTGCAGGTACTTCCAGGCAAGGAGTCCCCATCAGGGTCAGGCTTTGTGCCAGGGCCGAGGTCCTGGAGGAACCAGATTTACCCCAACTCAAGTCCACAAAAGGAGGGTGTCATGTGAGGTGACAGCCACGGGCAGTGTGGTGCTTGCAGGACAGAGACTGGGACAGGGAAAGCCCAAGGGGTCTCCACAGAGGATGAGTGACAGGTGCAGAGGACACCTGGCAGGGGACTCCCAGGCATAGAGTCTCAAGAAGCTCCAGGTGGCCCACAGGGCTGGAGCAAATGAGTCCTGGGGCTAAGGTGGTCTAAGAGCAGGCTAGACAGGTACCAGGCCCAGACCCAGAGAACTCATCCCTGGGGGACTCATCTGGGGAGTCCTGGAGGCTGTTTGCAGGGAATCAACGAGACCAAACACTTGGATGGGTGGGCAGGGGTGCGAATCCAGAACTAGGGACACCCCAGGGAGGGTGTTGTGGTGACCCAGGCAGTTTGACTGATATGAGGACAGATTCAGTTGAAGGAGGAACAGGAGAGGGAGGAGCAAGGACAACCCTGGGTTTTTTTGATAAACAGTGAAGAGAACACTGTGGGCATGTCAGTGCATCCTGTGTTTTAAACAAAATGCCCAAGGGAAGTGGTGGTCTGCAAAGCATCCCAAGAAGGCAGCAAGGGCTTGGCTTGGTCTCCCCCAAGGCCATCCACTCACTGACTTGCTCATAAAGGCTTACTGGGGGCCAGGCTGGGGGACACAGGGAGGGTGGACCAAACAGAGGGGGACTGTTCAGTCAGGAGGACAGATCATGGCCCATTTTTGGAGCAATAAAGGGGGAGGGGGTCCCCCCTCTGCAGTGGGAGGATGCCAATACTGGTCTCACTGATCAAGGAGCACTGGCTGGTGATGGGCACCCCCTCAAAGGCAGCAGTGCCAGTGGAGAGGAGACCAAGGGCTGTGGAGGGGAGCTCCTGGAGGACACGAAGGGAGAGGCTGACAGACCACATGGTCCTTGTGGCCTGCCTTTATCCTCAGATCCAGGAGGAGTCTTTGGAGGGATTTGGGGAGGAGACTGACCATCAGATTTGTGTGCTTCTGGTGAGAGGCTGGTGTAGATCAGATTAGAGGAGGGAGGCCCAGGGTGGAGAGTGGGGGTAGCCAGGTCCAGGGGAGGTGGGGAGCCTGGAGGAGGCACAGATTTAAGCCACCAGGGGCCCAGATTGCTGTGAAATGGGTGGGTGAAGCTGAATTGGGGGCACCAGAGGCTGATGGGGAGTAGTGGGCATTCTCGGGGACTTCCCGAGGGAGACTGGATTTCAGAAACATGTATGAAAAATCATAAAAATGTACATTCCTTTTAATCAAGTCATTCCACTTCTAGAAATCTGTCTTGGGGAGATAAAACTTCAGCTAAAAATTCTTAATGTGTGGGAGGCTGAGGTAGGAGAATCGCTTGAACCTGGGAGACGGAGGTTGCAGTGAGCCAAAGTTGTGCCACTGCACTCCAGCCTGAGCGACAGAGACTGTCTCCAAAAAAAAAAAAAAAAGGAAATGTGTTCATGGAGGAAAAAGTGGAAACAGCCTAAATGTTGAACATTAGGGGGAGGTAAAATAAACTATGTTACATCCACGGGAGGGGACATTAAACATTTAAGATAAATATTTTTTTGACAACTGTAATGACATAATAAACATTTTAAAACATTTAAACATTTGAAACATTTCTATTTTAATTTACAGTAAAGTTTACTCTTTTTGGTATAGCTATAAAAACCTAGTATAATTTTTAAAAAATCATTGACTCATGTAACTATCACAATTGAAATACAGAATTATTTCCACCACCACCCCCATATTTCTCTAAGCACCCCTTTTTTAGAGAAACAGTCTCATTCTGTCACTCAGGCTGGTGTGCAGAGGTGCAATCTTGGCTCACTGCAACCTCCGCCTCCTGAGTTCAAGTGATTCTCTTGCTTCAGCCTCTTGAGTAGCTGGAATCACAGGTGTGTGTCACCACACCCGGGTAATTTTTGTATTTTTAGTAGAGATAGGGTTTCGCCATGTTGGCCAGGCTGGTCTCAAATTCCTCGCCCCAAGTGACCCACCTGCCTCAGCCTCCCACAGTGCTGGAATTACAGGGGTGAGCCACTGCTTTCAGCCCTTATGTTCCTCTTATAGTCACACCCTTTCTCTACCCCAATCATGGCAAGCACTGATCTGGTTCTATACTTTTACTTTTTACAAAATATCATAGAAATGCAAATGTAAAGGATGTGACCTTTTTTTTAAATTAAACTTTTTATTTGGGGATAATTGTAGCTTCTCATGCGGTTGTGAGGAATAATACAGAGGGATCCTCGGTACTCCGGCCAGTTCCCTCAAGGGTAGCACCTTGCAGCTACAGTAACGGATCACAGCCAGGATATCCACACTGATACAGCCAGAACGGAAAGTTCCCTCCCAAACAGCCCTCATGCTGCCCTTTCACAGAAACACCCACTTCCCACTGTCCCAAACCCCTCCTTAGCCCCTGGCAACTACTAATTTGGTCTCCACTTGTATAATTTTGTCATTTCAAGAATGTTCTGCACATGGAATCATATAGTATGTGACTTCTGGGGACTGGCTTTCTCCCACTCAGCATAGTTTTCTGGGTTTTCCTCCAGGCGGCTCGGTTACAACGTTGTTTGTTCCTTTTTAATGCTGAGTAGGAGTCTAAGTATGTAACCTTCTGAGTCTGGCTTCCTGAGTTCAGTGTAACAATGTTGCAATTCATCCCAGTTGCCTTATGGATCAATAGTTTGTTCCCTATTATTGCTGAGCCTGATTCCATTTATGAAGGTCTCACAATGTGTTTAGCCATTCACCAGTTGAATGACAATTGGGTTGTTTCCACACGTGTGTGTGTGTGTGTGTGTGTGTGTGTGGTGGGTCAAACCAGATGTTTCTGCTTCTTACCAATGGTGAATAAAACCAGTATAAATATTTGCATACAAATTTTTGTTTGAACATAAGTTATCATTCAATTTAGATAAAAACCTATGAGTAGGGTTTGCTTGATATGCATAAACACGTTTATTAGAAATTGCCAAATGGTTTTCAGAGAGGAGGCTGCTGGGGGTGGGGACATAGGGGTACAGGAGGGTTCGGTTAATGAAGCTTCTGCCAGCCCAGTTGGAAAATAGGCCTGTGTCCCAGCACTGAGGTGCCCAAATCCCTTGCCCAGACCTGAGCTAGCAGGGTCTCAAGATCACAGTCAGTCAAGAGTCAGAAGCGGCATCTTCTGCTCCAGAAGCTTCTGTTCCTGTGGGCCCTGCCCCCTCCTCAGGGCTCCACAGGAGCTGTTCAATACGCTGGGTGCTGTGCAAACTGTAGGGCACAGCCAGACACTTGGAGCTCAGAGGGACCCAGGGTGGGCAGGATTGGCCGAAGCTGGAAGTGGGTCCCTGCAGGTCACACCCCACCTGCTGCCTCCAGACCTTGGACATTTCATGGGGGCTGGGCCAGTTACAGGGAGGGAAAGGGAAATGGGGACCCTTCTGATTGCTGCCCTGGGACCCTAAGATCTTGGGTAGTGACAAGGAACCTGGAAGCACAGCTGTCCCCAAGAGGCCTTCCTGGGTCCCTCCTCCATGGACAGGACTTCAGACTGGACAGTCACTCATCCGTTTTTCCATCAGTCTGTCCATCCATGTATCTGTCCATGCACACACACCCCCATCCTTCCTCAAGCCCCCTGAGGCCTCCTGGGGCCTGAGCTATATAGACCCTCAGCTCCTGATGTCCCAGGCAAGGCAGGATTGGCCTCGCAAAGCCCCGGTGAGACCTGAAGTGTGCCTGCTCATGCACTGTGGGAGAAGGGGGCTGTGGCACTGGGGTCCCCTGGGAGTACTTGTCCCTGCCCAGCCCAGAGCTCAGGTTGCAAGTGAGACCCTCTGTGAAGAAGACAAGGGGCAGGGGATACTGGGAATTCCACATCAGCAAAGGTGGCCTGGTGGCAGTGGCAACCTCAAACAGGCCTGGGAGCTGGAACCAGGGCTGGAGGGCAGAGGGAGGAAGGGCATGCTGGAAGATGGGTATGAGCAAAGGCACAGGAGTGACCTTAGTGGCCCTTTTGTCAACAGGGATATGGCAGTTACATATGGGCCCCCATGGAACCATCCTGAAGGATCATCTCAGAGACCCTAGAACCTGTCCACCATGCCACCTGCCCTGGCACCCTGCCCACCACCCAGAAATTCCTTCTATTCTGCCACATGGCTGGGCCCTGCACTGGGCCAGGACTTCATGGGCGAAGAGGACAAGGGAGGGAGGGAATCTGGGCCCTGCATGGGACACAGGCAGTGACCACCTGGTAAAGAAGACTATGGTCTCGATTTCCTGACCTGGTGATCTGCCTGCCTCGGCCCCCCAAAGTGTTGGGATTACAGGCATCGACCGCTGCATGTGACTTACAACTTTTTTCCATAGCGTGTATCCTAATTTATCTTTACAGCAATAGTGTATAAGATTTCCCCTTTATCCAAATCCACACCAGCATTCCTTTTAATTTTTAAGATAATTTCAGTAACATGCATCTAGTAGGTGTGGGATGGTATCTGAATGTGGTTTTGGAGTACATTCTCTTCTGATGCGTAGTAATGGTGAGGACCTTTTTTCTCTTATGTGTTTGTGCATTTTATGTCATTTATGCAGTGATGTCTGTTGAGGTTTTTTGCCCAATTTTAGTTTGGATACGTATTTTTCATGCTTTATTTTTTTTTCTTCGGTGTACATGTTTGTTAACAACCAGTTATCACTTCTATGATTCCCTCATATTTTCTCACAATCTTTTTCTTTTTTGAGACTGGTCACTCTCACCCAAGCTGGATCACAGTGGCACATCACAGAACCATGTAGATTGGAATATTGGCTACCTACAGCTTTGCAACACAATCTGACATCAGGAATTGTGAGTCTTCCAACTTCGTTTGTATTTCTCAGGATTCCTTAGATGTTCAGGCCTGTTTGTGGTTCCATGTTAATATTAGCATTGTGTATTTACATTTTTTTTTTGGACGGAGTGTTGCTCTGTCGCCAGGCTGGAGTGCAGTGGTGCCATCTTGGCTCACTGCAACCTCCACCTCCCAGGTTTAAGTGATTCCCCTGCCTCAGCCTTCCTGGTGATCCACCTAACTCGACCTCCCAAAGTGCTGGGATTACAGACGTGAGCCACTGTGCCCACCCCGTTTTTTTTTGTTGTTTTTTTTTTGTTTTTTTTGTTTTTTTGAGATGGAATCTCACTCTGTCGCCACGTTAGAGTGCAGTGCTGTGATCTCAGCTCACTGTAACCTCCATCTCCCAGGTTCAAGTGATTCTCCTGTCTCAGCCCCCCAAGTAGCTCAGGCTACAGGCATGTGCCACCACGCCCAGCTAATTTTTGTATTTTTAGTAGAGGGGGAGTTTCACCATGTTTGCTAGGATGGTCTCGATCTCCTGACCTCATGATCCACCTGCCTCAGCCTCTCAAGATGCTACGATTACAGGCGTGAACCACTGCACCTGGCCTATAGTTCTTCAATGTTTTGTCTATAATAAGGCATGTAAGCAGAGGGTATACTGGGACATTTTTAATTCTCTGGGACTTTTTTGTTTTTGTTTCTGTTTTTGAGACAGAGTTCCACTCTGTTGCCCAGGCTGGAGTGCTGTGGCATAATCTTGGTTTACTACAACCTTTGTCTCCCAGGTTCAAGTGATTTTTGTGCCTCAGCCACCCAAGTAGCTAGAATTACAAGTGTGTGCCACCATGCCCAGCTAATTTTTGTATTTTTTAGTACAGGCGGGGTTTTGCTACATTGGCCAGGCTGGTCTCGAACTTCTGACCTCAGACAATCACCCACCTCAGCCTCCCAAGGTGCTGGGATTACACACATGAGCTACCTTACCCAGCCTCATCAGGGACATTTTGATACATGTGTATTTTGGGTGATTATTAAATCAGGGTACTTAATATGACTATTCCTTCATACAGGTATTATTTCTCTGTGGTGAGAACACTCAAAATTGTTCCCTTCTAGCTTTTTTTGAAAAATACAATACAATATTGTAACCAGAGTTACGCAGCTGTGGAACAGAACACTAGAATGTATTCCTCCCAACTAACTGTAACTTTGTTTCCATCACCAATCCCTCCTATCCTCCCCTCCTTCCCCAGCCTCAGGAAACCACTCCTGTACTTTCTGCTTCTTGAAGGTTAAGTTTTTGGATTCAATGTGAGTGAGGTCATGCAGTGTTTGTGTTTTTTGCTTGGCTTATTTAACAGAATGTTTTCTAGGTTCATTGGTGTTGCCCTAAATGAAAATTGCATTATTTTTTATGACCGAAGAGTATATCATTGTATATATTTACTTCATTTTCTTTGTCCCTTCATTTGCAGGTGAACAGGTAGGCGGATTCCATCATCCTAGCTATTGTGAATAGTGATGTAATAGACATGGAAAGGCAGATGTCTCTTCAAAATACTGATTTGCTTTGACTGTGTATCTAGTAGTGGGATGAATAGATCATATGGTTAGGTACTTTCAGTTTTTTAAGGAATCTGCAACTGCTTTCTGTAATGTATATAGTAATTGACCCTCCCATGAACACTTCTTTTTTGTTTGTATTTTTATTTGTCATATTCATTTGTGTTTGTATTTTTATTTGTCATATTCATTTAAATAAGTGAGATGCTTTCTGCGTATGGTTTTGATTTCCATTTTGTGCAGGATTAGTAAAGTAAATCACATTTTTGTAAAGATAGAGTCAGTCTTATGTCTTCTTTGCCGAAAAGTCTATTCAGGCTCTTTGCCCAATTTTGGTTCAGTTACTCATTTCTCTTTTGCTTAGTTTTTTTGCTAGTTACTAAGGTTAGTAGCTTGTGCCTTTTGGAAACAATGCCTTATCAGCTGTTTCCCCAAACTTTTTTTCTCACCTTTAGGATGCTGTTCTTTTTTGTATTTTTCTCTGCCCCCTTCCCCCAAACCAGACTCTGATGGAGTCTTTGTCACCCAGGCTGGAGTGCAGTGGTGCAATCTCAGCTCACTGCAACCTCCGCCTCCCAGGTTCAAGCAATTCTCCTGCCTCAGCTTCCTGAGTACCTGGGATTACAGGTGCTTACAACCATGCCTGGCTAATTTTTGTATTTTTACTAGAGACAGCATTTCACCATGTTGGCTAGGCTGGTCTCAAACTCCTGACCTCGTGAGCGACCATGCCCGGTCTAGGATGCCTTCTCTTTGGGTTCATTTGTTCTCTCCTGTGCAGAGGCTCTGATGTTGTACTTAGTCTCTCAGGTTTATATTTGCATTTGTCGGCAGTGATGTCAGTGTCCCATCCAAAAAAGAGATTGTTAAGCCATTTTATTGTCTGTGTATTTTCCACCTAATTTTTCCTTTTCTTTTTCTTTTTTCTTTGTGCAACCTGTGTGCACAGGGTCAAGTTTTCCCTAAATATATGTTTATCCCATATTTTCTCCTTGGAGTGTTTTGCTCTCCGGACTGAATTTAACTCTTTGATTTGTTTTTCATAGATTTTTGTGTATTGGGCAACATAGAGGTGCTAGTTCAATCTTGTGCACATGACTACCCAGTTTTCTCAACTGTTGTGTCTTTGGTGTGCTTTTGAAAAATGTCTGCGCTAATTTTGGATTGATTACTTGGCTTCCTCATTTTGTCCATTTGATTGTCTTTCTATGTTTATGCCAGTCAGTGATTGCCTGGATGACTGTAGGTTTTGTTTTGTCTATCATCCATGTATCTATCTATCTATCTATCTATGTATAATGCATACGTCCTAATCATTTTTTTTTTTTTTTGAGGCTGATTATTGCTCTGTCACCCAGGCTGGAGTGCAGTGCTGCAATCTTGGCTCATTGCAGCCTTGACCTCCTGGGCTCAAGTGATCCTCTCTCCTCAGCCTCCCAAGTAGCTGGGACTACAGGTGCGCACCACCATGCCCCACTAATTTTTTTATACTTTTTGTAGAGGTAGGGTTTTGCCATGTTGTCCAGACTTCTCTTCAACTCCCAGGCTCAAGTGATCTGCCTGCCTCAGCCTCCCAAGGTGTGTGAGTACTTGTGGGAGCCACTGTGCCCAGGGAAACCCTGTTTTTTTAAAAAAAATAGACTTTTATTTTGATTAAAATGCAGGTTTGTTACACGTGAACATTTGATGACACTGAGGCTTGTGGCCACTGACCCCATCACCCAGGTAGAGAGCAAAGTGCCAATCAGGTGATTCTTCTGCCCACACCCGCTTTCTGCCTCCTTTTTTCATCTGATAGTCCCCAGTGTCTATTGTTTCTATCTTTATGTTTGAATGTATTCATTGTTTAGCTCCCACTCATAAGTGAGAACATGGAGTATTTCGTTTTCTGTTCTTGCCTTGGTTTGTTAAATGTAATAATCCCCAGGTCTATCCATGCTGCTTAGGACATGATTGTGTGTTTTTCTTATGGCTGTGTAGTATTTTGTGGTGTGTATGCACCACATTAAAAAAAAAAGTCAAATCCACTGTTGCTGGTCACCTAGGATGCTTTCACATCTTTGTTCTTGTGAATGGCACGGCCATGAATGCAGGAGAGCTTGTGTCTTTTTGAAGAAGGATTTACTGTCTTTTGGGTAGATACCAAGTGTAGTGGAATTGCTGGGTCTGATGGTAGTTCTAAGTTCTTTGAGAATCTCTAAACTGCTTTCCACGGTGTGAACTAGTTTTCACATTGACCAAGAGTATAGCAGCGTTCCCTTTCCTTTGCCACCTCCCAGCATGTTGTTTTAACTTTGGAAAAATGTCCATTGTGACCAATGTGAGATGATATCTCATTGTATTTGGGAGTTCCATTGCATTGATGATTAGTGACATTGTGCATTTTTTCATATGGGTTGTTCATTTGAACGTCGTCTTTTTATTTTATTTTATTTTTTGAGACAGTGTCTCACTCCATTGCCCAGACTGGAGTGCAGTGGTGCAATCTTGGCTCACTGCAACGTCTGCCTCCTGGGTTCAAGTGATACTCCTGCCTCAGCCTCCTGAGTACCTGGGATTACAGGTGAGCACCACCATGCCCAGTTAATTTTTGTATTTTTAGTAGAGATGAGGTTTCACCATTTTGGCCAGGCTGATCTCAAACTCCTGGCCTCAAGTGATGTGCCTGCCTCAGCCTCTGAAAGTGCTGGGATTGCAGGCATGAGCCACCATGCTCAGCCTGTTCCCTTAAATTTCTTTACAAAAATTTACACTATGGTAAAAACGTACCACCAGAGGGTAGAATGAGACACTTTGGTCTGTGCGTACATTGTGTAGTGATGAAATCAGGGTATTTAACATCTCTCTTTCCTCATAAAATTATTATTGCTTTGCGGTGAGGACATTCAAAATCCTCGTTTCTAACTTTCTTGAAAAGTACACTCTGATAATGTTAGACCTAGTCACCCTGCTGCTGTGGAATAGAACTACAGGTTTCATTCCTCTCATGGAATATGTAAGTTTATACCTGTTTCCAATCTCTGACCGTGCCCCAGCTTTGAACCCCAACCCGTGGTAAGAACAGTTATGCTTACTAGTTCTATGAAATAAGATTTTTAGATTCCGCCTGAGTGAGACAACGCGATGTTTGTCTTTCTCTCCATAGTTTATTTCTTTTTTCTTTTTTCCTTTATTTATTTATTTATTTATTTATTTATTTATTTATTTATTTATTTTTTGGAGACAGTGTCTGGCTCTGGTTGCTCAAGCTGGAGTGGTGCAATCTCAGCTCACTGCCACCTCAGCTTCCCGAGTAGCTGGGACTTTTGAGAAATGTCTCTTCAGGTTCATTGCCCAACTCTGGCTGGGTGACTGGGTTTTGCATGTTTTGCTTCTTAGTGGCATTAGTTTCTCGTGCATACCATGTAACAACCTCTTTCAGATAAATGATTCCTCATCATGCCCTCTCTATATGAAGGATGCCTTCTCATTGTTAATTACTTCATTGGTCCCTTTACCATGCCGTAGTTCTTGAGGTTTTGTTTTGTTTTGTTTTGTTTTTTTTCACTTGCTGAGTTTTCCTTTTGTTAGCAGCAATTTTGGGTCAGGCCAGAAAGAAAAATCACAATTTTGATGCATTTCATTGATTTTGAGTATATTTTCCATATATTTCCTAACTGTTTTTTCTTTTTGCAACCTAGGAGCATAGATTAAGTTGCCCTGATCTTCCACTCACTCTGTGTTTTCCTGTAGAAGTTTTATACTTTTGGGTCTTGTGTTTAGGTTTTCATTTATTTCGAGTTGGTAGTTGTGTATTGTGTAACATAAGGGTCCTATTTCATTCTTTTTCATGTGGATATCCAGTATTTTCAGATTCATTAATTGAACAGACATCCCACTCCTCATTGCGTCATCCAGACATTCTCTTGAAAACAGTGTGTTGACTCCATACAGATGTACACTTAGGTTCTGTTATGTCTGCATGGTTTCATTGTTAGGCCACTGCCATAGTCTTTGGGTGAGTAGATCTTTTCCATGTAATTTGAAATTGAACAGTGTGAGGCCTCCAAACAAGGTTATATTTCCTAGGATTGCTTTGCATGTTCAGAGTCTATGGTAGTTCCATGTGAATTTTTAGCTGTGTATAGTTACATTTCATGATAAGTTTGGTTCATACTGCATGTCCAGAATTAGGGGTGCAATGGGGATATTGCAGTACTTGTGTACTTTGCGTAAGGATTAAGGATAAACTCAAGGAGGTTTCCATGTTTTGTGTGTGGGTTTCCAGTTTTCTCAAGGTCAATTACAGAACAGACTAGCCGTTTCCCATTTTGTTTGGGTTTTTTGTTCGTTCGTTCGTTCGTTTGTTTGTTTGTTTTGATACAGAGTTTTGCTTTTTTGCCCAGGCTAGAGTGAAGTGGTGTGATCTTGGTTCACCGCAACCTCCACCTCCCAGATCCAAGCAATTCTCCTGCCTCAGCCCCCAAGTAGCTGGGATTACAGGCACACGCCACCACACTGGCTAATTTTTCTATTTTTATTATAAGAGACCATATTTCACCATGTTAGCCAGCCTGATCCCAAATTTCTGACATCTAGTGGTCTGCCTGCCATCGCCTCCCAAAATGTTGGGATTACAGGCATGAGCCACTGTGCCTGACCTTTTGAGAAATCTGTTGACTGTAAGTACATTCAGATTTGTCTGTTGGCTGCCTGATACTCTCCAATGATAAATGTTTCTATTTTTATGCCAGTTCCTTGCTGCCTCAGTAAGTATAGCTTTTTGACGTAATTTAACATCAGCTAGCATGAGACATTCAAGTGATTTTCTCTTTCTGGGAAGTGCTTTGGATTTTCAGGGTCTTCCATGGTTCTCTGTGAATTTTGCCGTTGTTCATTTACAGTTTTAAAATTGAGTTTGTCATACATGTCCAAAATTAGGGGGTACAGTGGGATTTTGTTTACTTGCATACTTTGAGGAATGATGAAGTCAGAGTGTTTTGCATGTCTATTCCCATGTCTAGTTTTTATTTGTTTGCGGTGTGAACCTTCAGTGTTCCTCTCCTTTCTAGCTCTATTGAAAGAGATCCTACCGTATTGTTACTTGTAGTCACCCTCCTGTGGAGTAGATCACCAGCATTAATTCCTCCCCTGGAAGTGCAACTTGGTACCCATTACCAATGCCAGCCCATGCCCTCCCCTCCCCCCAGCGTCTGATAACCACTATTGTACTTTCACTTTCAATTAGATAAGTTTTTTTTAGTCTCCTCATAGGTCAGATAATGCTGTGTTTTTGTTTCCCTGCCTGGCTGATTCCACTGAATATAATATCCTCCAGGTTTATCCGTGTTGCCACAAAGGACATTATGTCATCAATCTTTGTTGATGGGGCGTATTTTGTTGTGTCTGTATACTGAAGTTCCTTCACTCCTTCATCAGTTGATGGACAGGTAGGTTGATTGCATACCTTGGCTATTGTGTATAGTGCTTCGGTCAACCTGGGAAGGCAGCTGTGGCTTCCATGCAGTGATTTCACTGTCCCTAAGTATATACCCACTGCTAGAATTGCCAGATGAAATGGTAGTTTCCTTTTTGATTGTTTGGGAAGCTCCAAGAGGTTTTCATAGTGTTTGTAGTAACAGTGATTTCTCCCAACTGTGTATGAGAGTGTCTGTTTATACAACTTCCTCCGGGGAATTGGTTTGAAATAATTGGTTTCTTTGATTTGTTCAAATTAGGGTGAGTGTGTATCTGAGCGTGGTTTTCATTTACAGTTTAGAGATGACTAGTAATGTTGAGAACTGCCCTTTTCACATGTTAGTGAATTGTGCACTTTTTAGTAATGTCTGTTCATGTTTGTTGCCCAATTTTGGCTGGGTTACTTGGTTTTGTGTGTTTTGCTCCTCAGTGGTGTGGTAGTTTCAGATACATGATTCCTTATGATGTCCTTTCTGTCTGAAGAATGCCTTCTGAGTGTTGGTTGGTGCATTGTTTCCTTTAATGTGCCTCCAGTAACCCCTATTGGAAGTTCTGCTTATAGGAGACAATGTTTTTTGGATTCCATATGCCTGATGTCATGCAGCGTGGGTCTCTCCCTAGCAGACTCGTTTCATTTCACCTAATTGTCTTCCAGGTTTCTCCAAGTGGTTGCAGATGACATGATTTCCTGAAGTGTTACAGCTGAAGTGTGTTTCCTTGTGTATATATACTGTGGTTCCTTTATCCCTTCATCTGTGGATAGACAGGTAGGTTGATTCCACATCTTGACTAATTGTGACTAGGGCTTCAGGACACATGAAAAAGGCAGATAACACAGGAATTCATTTTCTCTAAAAATGTAACCCAGTGGTGGGATTGTTAGCTGGAGTGGCAGTTGTACTTTTACCTTATAGTTTTGTTCTTTTGTTTTTTGAGATAGAGTCTTGCCATTATCGCTCAGGCTGGGTGCAGTGCGTGATTTTGGCTCATGCAACCTCCACCTCCATGCGTTCAACGCGATTCTGCTGCCTCAAGCCTCCCAAGTGGTGGAATATAGCACCTGCCACCACCAGTCCTCTAATAACTTTTGTAATTTTTCGTAGAGATGGGATTTTCACCATGTGGTGAGGCTGGCTCTCAAACTCCTGACCGTCATGAATCCAAATCTGTCCTCAGCCGTCACCAAAGTCTGAGATTCACAGGGTGTGAGCCCACTGCACCCAGCCTACATTTTACTTTTTTAAGAACTTCCAAAGTTTTTGTACAGGTGTGTATACGTAATCTTTCATTCCCACAAAGATGTGTAGAATTTTCTTTTTCTGCAAGTCTGCACTGACCATTGCCTTCAACAATTTTGACTTTTGTCTTTTGTAATACTCATTCTAGGTGGAATTAGATGGTAACCGAGTATGGTTTTGATTCACATTTTTGTGATGATTAGTGATATTGAGAAACTGTAACCTGTGAGTCAGTTTCCTGACTTCTTTTCACTCAGGTCTATTTAGATCCTCTTAAGTTGGATATTTGTTGTTGTTGTTGTTGCTTTTTGCTTAGTCATATCAATTTATTGCACATGTTAGATAACAACCTCTTTCAGGGGTAGGATTTTTTATAGTTTCTCCCAGTCTTTAGGATTCCTTTTTTTTTGTTTGTTTGTTTTCTTTTCCCTGTAGAAGTTGTAAAGTGTCCCTAGTCTCATATGGTTATAGTTGTGTATGTTAGCAGTGATTTTTGTGTTCAACACCCCACTTCCACCAAGCACAAAAACATGCGTGTGTGTGCGTGTAGTTTCCCTACTTTTTTTTTTTTTTTTTAGTGTTATGATGCTTTTTTACCTTTTGCAGCCTGTTTGCATAGATACAGGGTTTCCTAGAATATACACCCACTCTATATTTTCTTATAGGACCTTTACAATTTCAAGATTGAGTTTAGGTCTTTAATTCATTTTGTGTTGATTTTGTATATCATGCATTGTAAGGGCCCTATTTCAGTGTTTTTCCTATGGATATTCAGTTTTCTCAAAATCAGTAATTGAACCAGACTCTCCCTTTCCCATTGTATCTTTTTGGGGTTTTGAAAACTGTGTTCCCTACATATCATGTTGGATAGAGTATTTGGCTGCCTCATTCTGTCACTTAGGTCCTCATTCTGTGTTTGTGACAGTCATGGATTGTTTGGATAACTACAGATTGTTTTTTCATTTATTATTTTCTTTGGTTCTAACCTTGGACTGTTTTAATGAATTCTACTCTTATAATTATAGTTTAAAAGGTACATATACAAGTTAGTTGCATCTGTTGATTGCATCACGCTGAGGCTTGGGGTCCCAACAACCCCATAACCAAGACAGTGAGCAGAGGGCCCACAGGGTGGGTCTTCAGTACATGCTCCGTCTCCCCTGTGTTTTTATTGGTCTGATGGTCATTCCAGGTGTCTGTTGTTCTCTTCTTTATGCTTGAATGCATTCAAAGTTTAGCTCCCGCTTATAAGTGAGAACATGTGGCGTTTGTTTTCTATTTGGGCCTTAGTTCATTTACGACAGTGGCCTGCAGTTTCCATCTTCTGGGCTCAGGTGATCCTCCCACCTCAGCCTCAGGATTAGATAGGACTACAGGTGCCCACCACCACATCCGGCTAATTTTTGTATTATCATAAACATGGGATTTCACCATTCTGCCCAGGCTGGTCTTGAATTCTGGACTGAAGCGATCCTACTGCCTCGGGTTCCCAAAGTTTTAGAATTACAGGTGTGACTCACTGTGCCAGCCTCTCATCCACT